AGGACAAAGATGAAGCTGTCACCAAAAAGGTTTACTGCAGCATTCAAGAATAAGCAACACTTAGTTGGGGTCAAATCTGCAAAATCTAAATCATTTTTTTTTCCTTCCAGATCCAGGCTGCTCTACAGTGTTAATATCTACAATTAAACAATAATTAACAGAAGTTGGGGGGGATTAAAAGATTTGATAATTTAGAGAAATGGACTGAAAGTAATAGAATAAACAAATGCAATGTTCTTCACCAAGAAACAGAAAACAAGTATAGAACAATGGATTGCCAAGCATACTTGTGAAAAGTATTTTTAATTGTAGATGATTAAAAACTATCAATGAACCCACAATGTAGCATGGAGACAAAAACATAACAATCAACAAAAATAAAATTACCAAATTCAGTATCTAATAGTTCCACAATACTCTCCATTAACAAAACTCCATTTTGAACATTTTGCTTTCTTATGGATATTATACTTTAAAAACATTTAGATTAACTCAAATAGATTCAGAAAAGGGCAAAACAAAAACTAGATTCTATAAAGAAAGTTTGAGTAATTAGATATCTTAACCATGAAAACAACAGAGGGAGTATAATACCTCTTTTCTACAAATGTGGCATAGATGGTAAATATTCATTTTATATTCTTCCACAAAGCAGGACACAGAATAACAGAGTTAAGTTAGAAGAAGGCATATTCTTGTTAAATATTGGGGGGAATTTCTAACTATAAAAGTAGGTTGACAGTAGGACTAATGACTAAAAATGAGCTTTGCTTAGTTGGATCTGCTCAAGCATAAGCTGACTAGCCTTTATCATAGGTGTTATAATTTGCGTTCTTATGCTAAGCAAGTGGCTGGAGTTGATTATTTAATGGGTCCTTCCAAATCAATGAAAACCAGAATGCTGGAAAAGAAATGTAATGTACACTGTTATCAAATACAGGTATAGGGTGCCTGGATTATATTATGTTCATAATGAAACTCAAGTACTTTGGCCACCTAATGAGAAGGAAAGACTCACTGGAAAAGAGCCTAATCCTGGGAAAGATTGAGGGCAATAGAAGAAGGGGACGACAGAGAATGAGGTGGCTGGATGGAGTCACTAAAGCAGTAGGCGTGAACTTAAATGGACTCCAGAATGGTAGAGGACAGGAAGGCCTGGAGGAATGTTGTCCATGGGGTCGTGATGGGTTGGACACGACTTTGCAACTAACAACAATGAAAAACTGTTCTACTTGCCAAATGCTTTTAGAGCAGGGGTGTCAAACTGGCAGCCCACGGGCCAGATGTGTCATGCTTGGGCTACACCCACCCTGGCTCTGCAAAGACAAAAACATCAAGATACATCATGTGACACGATCGAGTTTGACACCCATGTTTTAGAGCAAATTTCAAATGTTGCTTTCTACAGCTTGAAAGAACTGTGAATCTATCTGCTTATTAAGAATAGTGGGAGAGGCATCTTAAATATATCCATGTTTTCAGTGGGCCTTTATCAGGTTTAAGGGACTTGGTCTTCTCTTGAATTACTTTAAGTTAAAGCTATGGAATGCATCTCTGTAGGAATTGTATTTGCTGTCAATTTCTGTTTTCAGGCAAACAGCTAAGATTCTTCAGCATGTTTTTTTCAATGAATACTACTAATAATTTTAATAATTTTGACCAATATATTGTTATAAATTGTTAACCACTTGAATAACATGGGTAAAAAAGTGAGCTGAAATGTGTAATATTATGTTATTTTATCAGTGTTTGCATACTCCAGGACAATACAATCCAGTAATAATGAAATTTAAATATATTATTTAAAATATGTAACTCTCTTCATAATTCAGTTATGAACTGCATAAGCCAACTGCAATTGACCCAACTGATCAGCCATCCTGAGGGAAGCAGCTAACAGCTTCTACTTCTGGGAAGCTAGGATGAGTGAAGTTGGGAAGAGCTGCTTTTCCACAGCACGATCAGCTCTTTAGGCTAGCTTCTTAGGAAATTACCCACTGATACCAATATGTGATTCAACATGACAGTGTATGTTTTTGATTAGTTGGGTTTGATTTTATACATTTTAACATACACTTATGGTGGATGTTTTAGCTATTTTCTATATCATGTAAACATTCAAGAGTCATATTTGACTTTAGTAAGACAGAAATGTATGAAACAAAATGACTTGCACAGCTTTTGTTAATAGTTTGAAGCTATTCTATTGCCGAATGCTGCTAAAAATCCATGGTTTAGCCATTGAAAGAGGCTGCTGCTTTTCCCAAAAAACATTTGATTTCTTTTAATTTGAAAATCTATTTATGTTAAGCCACGTGTAAATAATATTCTAAATTGCTGAACATTCTACAATTCTGCTAGTTTCAAAATCTCTGGCAACTTGCTAATCCCCGTGGTTCTAGCTTCTGCGATGCTTTAATGATTGTTTTATAAAACATTTCAGTTATGATAATCTACAAGGCCTTAAAGTAAATAAAACGGAGGGAGAGTGAGTTGCAATCTGCTTGTACAGAAAAAGCACTAATTAAAATCATCAAAGGGCGGAGAAGCAGCCATTGGACAGCCGAAACTCGACCCAGATCTTTCCTCTACCCAACGGCGCTGGCGCGGAGGATATTTTTCTCCAGAGGCGGAAATGGAAGTTTCGCACTAGAGGGGGGGAGCGGGGTGGGGGTTTCAGGGAAGAGTGTCTTTTGGACTGTCTTTGTTCCCTTGTTTCACGCCCTTACGGTGGTGACAGCGGCCGCTACAACTCAACAGGGACCGCATCGTGGACAGCCACCCCTCCCCGCAGTGACAAGCGAAAGGCTCCTCAAAGGTGGCCTGCCACATGCAGGCGGGCTCAGCCTCACCTTGTTCTTCCCGCATGGAAACCGGTGTCTGGCCGGAGCAGCAAAGATGGCGGACGCTACAAAGATAATAGCAATGACCCGAAGCTCTGGCGTCACTTCCGGTACCTGGTCTTCCCTCAGCAGGTGACGAAAAAAATTCAGTCTCCGCCTCTGCCTGAAGTCTAGAATGGAGAGAAGTTAAGAAACAAATGTTGCGCCGCGATGTACTTTGGGAAATGCCGTTGTCGGAGTATTTGAAGGCGCTAGGACCCAGAAAAGGCTGCAGTACAATACAGTAGTCATTCATGGGATGTTGCAGTCTATTCTTACCGGTAGTGATGGGTGTCGGCAAGATTGTCTATCGGCAGATGCTGCTTTGTTTTCCTCTCCGTCTCTTCCTGTTGGCTTTGGTTTTTCCAAGCACCAGGATTTTCTTCAGCAACTCTTGCTTTTCCTTATCTGCCCCAAAAGTCTACGTTTCACCTTATCAGTACTTCGTCTGAGCATTCCAGCTTCATCTATTTTTAAACATTTTTTTTCCTGTGGCCAAAGGCATTCTTAACACAATAATGGTCTGCAACACCACATTCAGAGCCATTATTTTTTCTTTGTTCAGTCTGTGATCCAGGCCTACACTAGATTTAGAAAAAAGCAGTTGCCAATATTAATTTTTGGTAATGAATGAATGTCTGAATATTTTGCCTCAATCTTTTATGGCCTCGTCATCATGGTTTTTCACCCAAGTGGCAAGCATATCTATTTCATGGGATTGAAGCTGTGGTTACTGCTTGGGAGAAAATAGGCAGGTGGGCTATCTTCTGCCTAGAAGGGAGTGGTGGTAATGTTAGTTCTTCATGAATAGGTCTTTCTCTTAATCCAGATGTAGATAAACATGTTGGCCTTTAACCTTTCAAGTTAAAGTTGTGGGACAGTGAAAACCTGGATGAAGCAAATTATCTTGACAAAAATGGCATTGATCACTCCCTTAGATTACCTCAGTATTTAAATCAGTGTGTTTTAAGCTCTGCAACTTTAAGATGTGTGGACAGAGTCAGCTTAGGCTAAGACCAAATAGGCAACAGTCAAATTTTAGCAGTGCCAAAATGAAAAAGACTACAGTACTGAAAAACACAATAAAAAGAACTGCTGTCATATGACATTGGGTGCCAATGTAATTAAAATTAATTACTGTGTAAGTAGGGAGAAAATCTCCAAGAAAAGAAAACAAATTACCCAGGATTCAAAATTATGTGTAAAATTCAAAAGCTCAAAGAAAAAGTGATTTTTTTGAAATTTCATAAAATTGGAAGATGAGCCAGAATATGACTTTCCAAAGAGGACAAAATATCTGGAACCTACCATGGTGTGGACTTCCAGAATTCCCCAGCCAGAATTCTGGGAGATGAAATCCACACACCTTAAAAGTTTCCAAATTTGAAAAACACTGGGCTAAATGGATTGCATCCCCCCCTCCCGTCCATTAAAATTCTCAACATCTATCTTAGTGTCCTAGAGTGTCTGATGTTGAGCATAAGGGACATTATATGGTACTTTTCTTTCCTGAACAGGCAGTTCTAGTTGGCGGTCTTGAGGATAAGCAGTTGAGCCATTTGCCAATCCTTTATTGCAATCTTTTTTTGCAGGAGGAACCCCTGGCAACAGTAGCTGATGCCCTTATCCCCACCAGCACATTTCTTGGGCTGCCTTTAAAGATAGCCTGGAAATTTGATACTGCTTATTGAACAGGGAGAGCTGTTTCACCTGTATTGCATGTACTGCATTGCCTGTTACATTTCTGATTTTCTTTTGAAAGTTGATAAAGCCCTAGGCTGTTTGAGTCTAAGTTACCTTAAAAACCTCTTTTATGATATCAGATGAGGAAGGATTACTCCTACACTTTAGAAGGGTGGAAGCTCAGAAACCTTTTCTGTGACTCCTCTGACACTTTAAAATAGCTTGATCTCCAAGCTCTAAATGTTTCTCTCTCCCCCTCCCAAAGGATGTACTTTTGTTGAATATAATTTTTACAATTAGCTTCAGCTTTTAAACTATTTCATTCTGTTGTATGCAGCTTTTGATTTTTAATGGTATACCTAGAGAGTATTGAATATGGTAGGTACAAGCTGTGCAATAAATAATATTTAGAAGTCAGAATGCTAGACCATGTTAGGCCTGCTACCGGATTCGTTTATTCATCAATGTTAAGCATTTTCATGAGCGACCAAATTCTTTCTGCACAATTATTGCTCCACCTGAAGCAGTAGGTCATTTCCCCCACATTACTGAGAGCAATGGAGGCAAGAAATAAATAAATAAAATTCCTTAATACCTTGCCCCAAAGCTGCTTTCACCCTTCAAATACCAACAGCAATGTTTTGGGAATTCTGGAAACTTTAATCCCCAAATATCTGGAGACAAAAGTCTAAGAAATCTTTTAAATATAATGATTCACCTCATGATAGATATCTCTAGGGCAGGCATGTCAAACTCACGACATCACGTGACGTCGCGCAACATATCGCAACTTTTTCCCCATTGCCGGCAATGGGGTGGGTGTGGTTTTGGCATGACGCATCTGGCCTGAAGACCGGCAGTTTGACATGCCTGCTGTAGGGTAATTAGAATGAGACACTGAGGGCAGCTAGAGTAATATCCTATATATGATAGGGACTAGTAGTTTATCTAAGAGGGGGAGAATCAGAGGTATATTATGCAGCAGGTTACTGTTGTTATGAGATCAGTTTTCCAACTGTCCTCACATTGGTTTGCACACTGCATTAAGCCATAATTAATTTTAAACTTGGTTTACTAATTAAGTTGGCTTGCTCATAGATGTTAAAATACATTCACACATTGTTTTAAGCTGAAACCAAACAAGTAATATTTTTGTTTAGTACCATGTAGGAACCCCCTGACATCTACATTGATATTTCAGAATTGCCTCATGTAAGAAAACACAAATCAGTGCAAGGGAAGTTTGGACAGATCTATACATTTGGCAAGAAATGTATAGAAAACGAGGTATTTCACAAGGCCCTAGTTGCTAAAAAAAAAAGATTCTGGGTCTCAGGTCTATTTGAACATAGAACACAGTCAAGGATAAAGAGAGATACTGTATCTACATGTTCAAATATACTCATGATAATAAATAAATTCCAGAGTGAAGCCCTAGCTCTAAACTGAGTGTTGGAATAAACAGAAAGGCATTGATAAATTCTATAATAAATATAACTCCATTTCTGACAGCAACAAATCGATAGCAAACGATGCCCCCCAAAAACCAGAGAACAGCTGAACATAAATTACTTAAGTCCTGGACAAGGATTCAGTTGATTCTCCCAGAGTTGGGAATCCTGTTTCACTCAGGTGCTCACACAATGGGATATATAAACAGAGGCATGGAGCAGAGACACGCAGGTTTATTCATTCTTCCAACATTACTGCTCCACATTTTTGACACGCAGAACAACAGGAACAGAGGTGCAAGGGATCATCCCCAACTCTGTAATGACCAGATCCACCAACTCTAGGGGGGTCACATCATAGACTAAATTGAGAAGGCGCAACGATTTGCTTTCCTGCCAGTTGGATAATGGACTTCTCTTTCCTTTTGACCCAATCAGGTCATCTGGATCATCTGCAAACATAGGAACAGGGGCCAGTTAGAAAAGCACTAGTTCTTTTTCAAAGCAGCATGGGCCAAGATTTCTCCCTCATGTTGGACAAGTCCTGAGGCTATTGTTTCCTGTCCTTTCCTTTTGCACATTCTGATGCTTACTTTGCTTCAGTGTTTGTGCTTTTGTAAATCATGGGCTAGTAGTCACTCCCCTAAGCTAATCTAACTCATAACATTGATCTGAGATAAGCATGTGCTTCAATTCTCAGTGGTCTTGAGGAATGAAAGTGACATGAAACAAAACAGAAAATGGTAGCCTTTCTATGCAAGCTTTTCCCATTAAAGGGACGATTTTTGGTGCTCTCACTTGTATTAGTCCAAATGTTGAGATCAACAAAAGACTACCCACTATCTCCAGGAATCTATACGAAAAATGGCTAACATTCCACAAAATAGTCAGATCTGCCTTCTCCAGAGAACTCGATATTTTAAAATTAAAAATGCCAATTTTTTTATTTTTGGCATTTGCAATATTGTGCGACAATATGCACAATATTGCATATTATTGCAATACTGTTGCATATTATTGCATGCTATTGGTCTGTCATCCAAAAAGATACCTGAGGCTTGCCACCAGACATACCAAGTTCATTGGAGACAAAGGAGTCGGTCTGAACCCGATCACAGAACTTGTAGGTCTCACAGCAGACTAGTACAGACACATTATAGGCCTTGGAAAGCAGTGCAATTTGTGAGGTGCCCATACGTGACATCACTGACCCATTGGCTAATAGTGCATGAGCTCCTAACAGCACTTTGGAAACCTGCAGAGAGGGGGGGAGGGAGGGAGGGAGGGAGAGAAAGAGAGAGAGAGCTATTTCACTTATTTTATAACCATCTGTAGCCTTTATTTACTTAAAAGATCCCCATCATTCTTAACACTATCCCATTTCAAATCCATTTCAAATCCAATGATTAAGAACTCCCAGGGAATCCCTGGTTTCCCCATGTTACCAATGTGGAAACTGGATGAGTGGGGCAGCGTATAAATTTAATAAATAATAATCAGAACCTACTGGTCTGATACACTCTCTGTTCAGCCTCCAGATTCTGCCTCTACCCCACAGAATTCACCTTTTAGTTCTTCTACCAACACTTCTCTACCCATATCACATTTCAAAGCTCCTACCTCAGGTAACATGTAGGAGATGGCATTGATTAGCACATAGCTGCAGCGGACTCCCTGTTTCACCAGGCGGCATAGTGTCTCCCGCCCTTCTAACCGTGGCTGACTGTCCACTACCACCACTCGGAAGGCACGATGATTGGCATGAGCCTCACAGAGAATGCGGCTCACCAAGGACGAGCTACCAAGCAAACATGAGCAGAGATAAACAGATGAGGAACTTACTCAGGCAACATTTCACTTGACCAACTTTTGGAAACCCAGGATGCCTTTGCTCTCAGACTTGGAAATCTCTGTCTCTTCTTTCCTTACTTTAACTCAAATATGATATTAGCCCCTCTAGGTAGATCAGATCAGGAAGGCCAAAACTGCTTTTGTTCAGACTAGCTATAATAACACAATTTTCCAAATCTGATTGTGCTATACCTCCCCCCCCCCGGTGAGTTAGGCAGATATCTACCTGAACCACTTCTCAATGGTATCTCATTCTGTACTTAAAAGATGCTTTAGCTTCTTTTACCCAGGTAACAATTCCTGCATATCTCCACCAAAATCATTTTATGCTTCACAGATAAAGTGTTCTGAACTGCGCTGATTGCTGTGAGCACAGCATAAGATCTAACTTAAGATTATGAATTCCAGACAAACTCCCCAGGAGGCAACCTATCATCTTCTGGCATTACTACCATGGCTACAATCACTCACTCTTTGCACAACAGTACTATTGCTTTGTTTTGCAGAGCCTGCCAGACACCTTTCTTTTTTCATCCCCATCATCATGTAACATCCAGGACAACAGCTTAGATTCTGAAAAGCATCATTCAGATAAGAACAAAGTTGTTTTTCTTCCCCCACCCAAGCACAACTCCATACCATCCATAGACAAGGATGACGTCACCATCGTTGATCTTCTCAAAGGCAAATTTGGAAATGGCTTCAGCTGCCAGAAAAATCTTCTCCCGCTCATATTTGTCAATTGTCTCCTGAAGTTGCTCCTTGGCCTATTCCCAAGAGACAGTTGATCATGTGTGGTCAGTCCCCTCCCTGCTTACTGTGCTCAGCTGGATGCATTTCTTGTATTTGATATAATGGATAAACTTCCTATAACTGCTTGATATAGGCATGATATTTTATTGTTTTGAAATTGTCAGTAAATAAATGAATCTCTCCCACAATATCTAAGCTAGATCTCCTGCTTATCCCTTGGAGAATAAGAAAAAAGCTCTGGTTTCCCACCCTGTGATATTGAGCATGACAACATTTCTTTGGAAAATGAAAAAGATAAGCCTGAACAATAAATTTTCGGGCAATAACCAAAAAGACCAAAACATTGGCAAGATGAAGGGCTAACGATCTATGCCAACCTGAACTGATAATGACATTCCCAGGAAAGGGAGCAAAGTGGAAGAAAAAAAAGCCATCACCTTGCACACCATGGATTCCATGCTACATTCAGAATTTCAACCAGCATCAGAGTTTGTAAGTTTGAACTCACCTTCTCTTCTCGTATGGTCCCTGGCAGTGAAGAGATCTCCTTCTTAAGAAATTTGATGGCATTGCCCATGCTGGCAGAGAGGGGCCTGCACTGAGTCAGGAAGCTGCAGAAGAAAGGCACACTCAGCTCAGCATCAGAAGCACCTTTCCACCTCCAGATGTCCAAAAGGGAAAATCCCTTGTTCCCAATCACCTGATGTAAGGTTTCAGCTTGTTTACAAGATCCCGTGAAAGTTCCTCGTTGGCCGGAGTGGTATAGTCTCTAATCACCTGAAGGACAGGGTAAACGAGAAGCTGCAAACTTTCAAAGCTAAAAACCCAACATGAACAGGAGAGGAGTCCTACAGCAGATCAAGTCAAGGTGAGTTTACCCAAGTCTGGCAACTTGTTCCCATGTTAGCTAATCAGCGGCTACTATGGGAGCTCATCTGAAACCAATGGAGACAACTAATATTGTCTACAGTATTATTTGTGCTCCCCAGCAAAACAGGTTCTGTTAGAGCTGAGAAGCTGCATATAGCCATTGATCTCTTCCTTTTCCAGGAATTTATTAAATTCTTTTAAACCAGCTAAGCCTATGACTATTCCATTTGTAGAATGGATGGTAAATTCATTTTCTTCTGAGAATGTATTTACCTAGTCAGGAATTTTAGACCAGGGGTCCTCAATCCACGGGCTATAGTCCACTATTGGGCCTTGAGTTGTTTGGAACTGGGCTGTTGCAGACATGGCAGACAAGTGCGTGCATCCTCACTTGTGCCAGCAGTGGGGAAGCATGTGTGCATGTGCTCCATTTGTGTGAGTGGCGGGCAAATTGTAATACATGTTTTGAATTATTAGCCACCGAAAGTCGTTTGCTGAAATGGGCAACAGTGGAAATCAAATAAATAAACATTTTAAAAAAATCTCAGAAGGTGGCTGACACACTACTGTTTGATACTGTTGTCAAGAAATCAACATAGGTGTGTCAGTGCCATCATGTGACCATACAATCAAGAGGAATCGATCTTGACTCAAGAGAGACTATCTTACAGTCCATTACATTAGGTAAACCAAGGAAAGGAAAGATGCTTCATACATGTTTATCATAACTATTTCCTGTTTTAGTACCAGTTCTTCCAATGAGAAGAGATCCAGACTGGTCTAAACAATACTTCTAACTCCCTTCTTCAGCAATACCTGTTTGAAAACTTTTAAGAGTGCAATACACCGAGCATTGGAGCCATTAATGATGCCCTGAGAGTACTGGAGGCCAAGACGCACCACTGCAGGGTGGATGGTGGAGACCGGGATGCTGCAGGTGAACAAATTGTGGATTATTCCATATCATCTCAACACTCCCCAATAAAACTGGCACTTTTTGCACAGTGTCTATCATATCAAAGCCCAACTACATGTTATTTTCAAGAAAGAAAATATTATTCTTACTCATCTTTTTCTCCCGTCTTTTTGAAATACCATAAAAGAGAGATGATGTGAATAAAATTATAAAGAGTAATGAATATATATCCTGAAATAGCTGAGGAGCACTTTCAGAGGGAGAAAAGAAGAAGATAAACTTTAACCCAAGCACTTTGCCTTGAAACCTTGTACTAGGATGGAATCTAAGCATAGAAACTTCCCAAGGCCAGGCAGCAGGAACAGAGCTCTGATCTAACCAGGCCAATTTCATTGAGCAAAGAACATGGTTCTTGGTCTTGTGACCTCTATTCTTCCTTCTTTTTTCTAGGAACGGTTTAGAAAATGTCCTCTCAACATCATTTATGAATGTTTAAAAGTGCTATGATAAGGCCCCTTTGAGTTCAGTGCTTTTTTCTTGATTCACAGGCACTCACCTCATCTGTTGTGTGAGTAACTCTTTGCGACTATACTGATGCAAGTGGGAGAACAGACTAACTTTGGCACCATAATCTGGCCTCATAGGGACCTGCAGACATGGGGGGAAAAACCAGTCTAAGCATGGAAGGTGATCAATCAACCATATATCGTCACCACCTGTGGTGAGCTGCCTCTTAATAAGAATTTTTCATACGATTTCCCTGCCCCATAAGTACTTTAATTTGTGCAGTGCTTTTTTAGTTATTATGTCTCTTTAATCAAGACCAGTTAACAAAATGGAGCATTTTTACAGGAACCCAGATCGCTGGACCCAATATACCATTTCTTAAAAGCCATAATGGTTAAACAAAGATCAGGAATTTCAGAAAGAAGCTAAAATCTTGGAAAAAGCAAGATCAGGGAAAAGTGAGGGGCTGCCTCAATAGGTTTGGACTTCAGCAATTCTTGACCAGGCAAACCCTGCTTTATAGTTTCTTAGCTACTTCTTAAATAGGCAAGCTGGAGAAAATGTAAACATTTTCATATCTCTACAGACCATACAAAGTGTACAAAAGGGGAGGGTTACAGTGTATGTTAATGTAAAAATAACAAGACAATTCAGGCATCTCTCTGGAAAAAAGGCCCATCTCTGTCCTATTGAGGCAGATAAATCAAAGTTGGCTACTATTTCTCTAAGAAGCCAAGTAAAAAGTCACATTTGGTTGAGCGGGTAATCACATATGACATCAATTTGGAAATAAACCTCTGTTTGGTTATCAATGACAGACACTCGCAGATGCAGAACATTTATTATACATATTATTAGAAAACTACAATGTTACATTACTTTTTGACATAATCGCCATTCAGATTGAGGCACTTGTCATAACGTCTTACAAGGTTTGAAATTCCTTAGTAGTAGTCGCTCAGCACCAAACCTGTGCTATGGGGGGTGTGTGATCAAAAACATCCCAACAGAACTGCTTCAAAATTTCTTGGTGCATCTAGCAATGTGCGGGTGAGCATTATCATGAACCAACATCATACAGGAAGTGGTGCCATAGAAAATCCCTCCAAATGTGAAGATGCCAAAGGAGTACTGATAGTGAAGTTCATGGAACGTGGTTTGACCATCAGTTCAGAAGTCTGTTGTGAAACATTACAAAAACTCAAGACAAGCCATCCATAACAAGTGTCGAGGCATGCTGACTTCTAGTGTTATGTTGGTTCACGATAATGCTCGCCCGCACACTGCTAGATGTACCCAAGACTTCTGAAGCAGTTCCGTTGAGATGTTTTTGTTCATCCCCCCTTATAGCCCAGATTTGGTGCCGAGCAACTACTACTAAGGAATTTCAAACCTTGTAAGACATTATGTCAAGTGCCTCAATTTGAATGGCGATTATGTCCAAAAGAAATGTAAAGTTGTAGTTTTCTAATAATAGAATAAAAGTTCTGTATCTGTGAATGTCTGTCATTGATAACCAAATGGAGGTTTATTTCCGAATTGCCCTCATAAATGATTTAATTGAACTAAATCAATCAAGAAATATGCCTGTAAAGGTATTTTTTGACATCTTCATTGTCCTCATTTATTGAATTTGTCTCCCAAGTCCCAAAGACTCTTCATATTTTTTTCAGAATTGCCTCTTCCAATCAAGCACAAAATGTTTTAGTGTTAAATCTTAAAAAATAGATAAACAACCCAGGGATGAACTGGAGGGAGATACTCAAGTTGGCTTTTCTTTGAGGATGTTAGATAGGATTTGTTTGGCTTCTTTAACTTAGTTCTCAACACCAAAAAGGCACTTGAGTATAATGATCTCAACAGTACTTCGATTCTCAGTCTTGAAGCAGACTAAAGAAACACAATTGCTACCTGCACATATGTGGTGCCTAAACTAATAGCATATAAAAACATAATATATAATACATATTATTTATTATTATATAACATAATATACAATAACATACGGTGAATGTTTCACACAACACACTAAACCACAAGCTGATTGAATCTACAGTGCTGAGTGAAGCAGATCTATGACTCTACAGGTAATCCTCAATTTAAGATTGTAACTGATCCCAAAATTAGTCGTAAGTCATTGTGATTGTAAATTGATGCATCATGTGACCAGACCAGATTTTTGGGAGGCAGTAATTAGGTGAACATTGCAATCATTAAGTGAATCAATTTTACTGAATTGGTGTTTTTTGAAGGAAATTGGAAATAAATGTCAAAAACCGGCAAAAATATTGCAGTCATGTGACTATGAGATGCAGCAAGTGATTGTAAAAGCTGGTTGCCAAGCTCCCAAAATGTGATCACATGACTGCAGGAGGATGGGGCCATTGTAACTTCAAACTGGCAGTAAGTACCTTAGGGAGAAGCCTGTCATAACTTTGAACTGTCATTGTCATAAGTTGAGGACTACTTGTATAGCTTATTTACCTCCACCTCTTCCAGCCACTATTCTTCATGGGGTCTGGAGTCCTACCTGCTGACGCTCCAACTTTTTGGCTAGCTTTTTTTGGGCAGCTGGATCATCCACCTGCACATGTTCTGGGAGCCTCTTGACTGCTGGGGAGAGAAGGGGGCAAAGCTCAGAAGATGAAGCTTTCTAGCTGGGTCACCAACAACTTTTCCTTCCTGACAGAGCCTCACCTGGCTGGACTTCATTGGGTCCTACCCGAGGCTTTGTAGGCATGGTTGTCTGACTCGGATCACCCTTCCGAGCTTGCTTCAACGCCCGATCGGCCTCCTGCTTGGCCCGGCGCTCAGCTCGCAACTCAGCCTTACTTTTGCCCAGGCCCGCCCTCTCGCCACCAGAGACTTTGTCAGGAAGACCCGGCGTGGTAGGTTCTGGCCCTAAACCCAAAGAAGGAAGGAGAAGATGACGAGATAAGCGGAGGCCCGCGCCGTCCATTCCGCCAGGGAGCTCCGACGAATCGTCTCCCTCCGCAGCTCAGACTGCGAAAAAAAAGCGACCTCCCAACCCTCCTCCTTCGCCCCTCCGGAACCTGGCGGAGGCAGCTGCCCAGCAGGCGTGGGACCGGGATGGACGAGCCCATCGGGGGGCAGCTTGGGCTCCTTCTCCGCTTCGCGGCGCTTTTTCTTCTGTTGCCTCTTCTCTTTCCGGAGCTGCAACTTGCCTTCCGCGCTGGGCGCCTACATGAAAAATAAGAAGACAGTCACACGAGGGGGACAGAGAGAGCTGCGGTATTCCCATAACCTGCCGCTACCCAGATGCTCATCCGATCCTGCAACGCGCCCCCTTTCCCAAGTACCTGGCTGCGCTCCGGGGCCTCGCAGCTCCCCGGCTCCGCCATAGCCACTCCGCTGGCTCCGCCCTGACCTCACCCGGCAATGTCAGCGACAGCGCCCCCTGCTGCTCAGAGCGGGTTCGTCAGGAAACATCTCACCTCTCCGTGGTCCCGGGCACTGAGGACGGGGAGAAGTTGATTGGGCAGGGGACCGAAGAGCCACCCCCTCCTTTGTCCAGCGGGTTGTACTGGGAAAAAAAAAAGGTTCGGGAGTGTGGCGCAAGTGGCAGCTCGCCCCGTACAGTCCACGAACCGAAGGGTTTGCGCGGGCAACTTTGCTGCTGCGACGTGGAGGATAATAGCTGATGGGCAGGCATGTGGTTGCCTCGCTCCACACACCACGCCAATAAATAAATCACAATGGCTGTGTTCGGCAATTATGCAATATCAAGCGAACTCTATTTTGTTGCTCCCCACAACGTATTAAGAAAGACAGCCGCTGCATTTCTACGATTTGTCTTTGGTGCATGGTGCAATCTACTCGCACTGACCACCCGAGGAGAGTCCTGTCGGCCTCTGCAATATTGCTTATTGCAGCAGCAACACAACTCGCAGGTGACAATAGCGGCTACCCTGATTACCACGAATAGGCATCAAAAATAGGAAACCAGATGCGGGTTGCAAAAATCCGGATGACCATTATTTGGCAGCAGCTGTCCGGCCACGGGACAAAACAGGCTCCGAGAATTCTTAGCGGCCAATACTGCCTTCGGGTGTGCTTGTATCGTTTAACTTCTACGTGCCACGAGCTTCCTTTGGGTGTTGGGGGAGGCGGTTCAGCTCCCTTATTCCAAATTTGGGGGGGGGGGCTCCGGACGGTCGAGGTAAAAATGAACCTGGGCAAGACTGAGACATTTTCGCTTTCAACATTCCCTCTCTGGCCAACACTTGGTCTTTCCTGGGTCACACCATCCACGGGTAGGGCCGGCAGATGACCAGCGGCGAAAAAAAGGGAGAGGCGAGTTTTCCCCGGTCCTCCTCCTTCCGTTCCGCCCACAGTGGTGCGTCCCTCCCTCTCTCCGCCCGCAAGATGGCGGGTACGTCGGAGTCCAATTCCGGGCCGAATCGGAGATAGCGGGACGGCAGCAGCTGCAGACAGAGGTGGAAGCGGCCATGCACTTCTCCATCCCCGAGACCGAGACCCGCGCCGGGGATGGCGGCAACGCTGCGGCCTACGTGGCGAGTGTCAAGCCCATGGAGGCGGGGCGCAGAGTTCCTCGGGCTCCCTCCCCCACTGGGATTAAGCCCTAAAATCAGGAAAGGGCATCGAAGTGCGATTTACACCCTGGGCGAGTCGCTCTGATGACTTTGGGCATCCCCAGGTTGCTTCTCTGCAGCAATTGTAGGCGCCCGCGAAGTGGGCGGAGGGGTGGGAAGAGCGCCCGGTTGGGAATGGGTGGTTTCGTTTCTCTTCCACAAGCCATGTTAAGTCTACTTTTCTCTTCGCGCTGAGTCTTGAAGCCAGATACAGCAGGCGCCAGGTTGGGCCCCGGGGAAGTTGTAGCTGGCTGCTGTGAGGCAGGACAGACCCAGATCTCAGTCTCTCCTTGAATTATTTTGGAGTGGGTTTTTTTTGGGGGGGGGGGATAAAAAGGCTTTGGGTGTTTCAGGGAAAGAATTATAAATGCTATTTTTAAGAAGGGATACTTGCTATTGACAGTCTTTTGGCATGGGAAAGATTCCTTGCATAACCAGGAATTATGGATTCTATAACTACTCCTGGGTAGTAAGTCCAGGAGCAAACACAGATATCCCTTCATTGTAGGTGTAATTCATGTTTTGTTTCTGTTTGATACAGAAAGGTTACTTTGAATAAAGTGCAAAGCTATAGAACTCAATAAATGAGCTCATACATCTCTTTAACAGGCATGCAGTAGTTATAGTACCATCTTGGTTACAAAATTTAGTTTTTTAAATGTTATTGAAAAGCATACCCATTTCAGGCCTTGATCTCCTTCACTAAGATTTATAGCTTCTACTTCCTGCAGATTGATGAAATCTTTTTCTGCCTGGATGGTGGATAACCTGAGGCTGTTTTTGTTTCAGCACTTCCAAACTTTCCTTATTTTAGGCCAGTGTTTCCCAAACTTGACAATTTTAAGGCATGTGGACTTCAACTCCCAGAATTCCACAGCCAACATTGCTGGCTGTGGAATTCTGGGAGTTGAAGTCCACATGCCTTAAAATTGTCAAGTTTGGGAAACACTGTTTTAGGCAATTGCCTTCCCTTGTGTCTTCATGCTATATAATTGCTTCTTAAGGATCAGAACCCTAAATTCTTAGTTTAGAAGACCTGTTCTTTCTTTGATTCTTCATGAGGCTATGGAATTAATGGTAGTACTTTGTAATTCATAGAAGACAGTACCGTTTCTCCACTTTATCTCTGGGAATGGGATAGCTTAAGGGCTTTCTCATAAACATATTCCCTAATGATGTATTTTCCTTCTGTCCCAACAGGCCTACAGCATTCATGTGAATGGTGTTCTGCACTGCCAGGTGCGATACAGCCAGCTGCTTAGTTTGCATGAACAGGTAATGCAGGGAGGCATGTATGTAAAAAATTGCCAGAATTGCTCCTTTGTGAAAAGTTAGCAGAATTTCACTAAAAGCCTTGCTCCTAGAGTAGTGTTTTATTAATTCAATTAATTTATGTAACTAAGCCAGTTTGGTCTAATGCTTAAGGACCAGGCTAGAAACCAGGAGACTTAGTTGTAGTCCCACCTTAGGAAGAAAGCCAGCTTGGATCAGTCTCTCTCTTTCAATGCACAACATCAGGCTTGGGTGACAATTCAATTGCTCAATTCCTGTCATAGCCAATGGATCAGCCACATGTTGGTTTGAAAAAAAGGAAAAACCTACACTTGCAGAAAAACACTAAGAAAAAAAATGGGTGTATATATCTTATTATCAAAATTCTGGTAAGTAGCAAAATAGTATTTTATTGCCTGAAGATGAACTCTGCTTTTCTTTCTGCAGCTAAGGAAGGAATATGGAGCTAATGTGGTACCAGCTTTTCCTCCAAAAAAGATCTTCACCCTCACCCCAGTGGAAGTGGAGCAGCGGCGGGAACAACTAGAAAAATATATGCAAGCAGGTAAGTTTTATTGGGCAAATCAAGGTAAAATAGTATGCATGCATTTGCAAGTAGGTATTTTCTAGGCACAGGGAATGAGCTTTGGCTGAAAGCAAAATAGTTGATAGTACCTTCTGTTTATTTATTTAAAATATTTATATAGTCACTTATCTTGTACCAAACTCTTAAGTGCTCACAACCAAAGGATGACATACCTATTTACAATAAAAATATAAAACCATAGGTATTTTAAAAAGCTGATATTTCTGTTGTCAATCCATAGTACGGCAGGACCCCTTGCTGGGAGGTAGTGAGATCTTCAATAGCTTCCTGCGCAAAGCCCAGCAGGTAAGGAGATGGGTAAATGCAGAGTACAAAGTATATGCCAGGTGGAGAAAATCTGATTGGAGTCTTGTGTATTTCCAGGAAACCCAGCAGATCCCAACTGAGGAGGTACAGCTAGATGTGCTGTTATCCAATGGGCAGAAGGTGAAAGTCACAATTCTCACTTCAGACCAAACAGAGGATGTTCTGGAGGTGAGGCTTTCCCAGAAATAAAAATGGGTCATGTTGAGAAAGGAATGGAGGAGAGATTACCATATATGCCCATAGTAATTTCTCTCCCTTTCTTATAGTAAGATTCAATGTGACAGATTGCTTTCTTCTAAGGACCAGTGGCCTATACCAAAGAAGCCCCACTGTAGTGGCAATATTTAAGGCAGCCTTCCCCTAAGTTACTATTAAGAGGAAAGAGTTCAGCATCTGGCTTATTTTTCCATTGTTTGTAGGCTGTGGCCTTGAAGTTGGACTTGCCGGAGGATTTGATTGGCTACTTCCATCTCTTCCTTGTGCGGGAAGCCAAGGATGGAGCATTTTCCTGTGAGTTAACATCTTGCTGTGCTTGCTATAATGGCAGAGAAAAACCATTCTGCCTGCCAGGAAAGGCGGGCAGGCATGTATCTCTGTCTGTGTGTTTGTGTGAATAAGGATGAGTTTGAGGCATGCTGCATGGTTAGCTCTAAACTGTCTTTTACAGTCATCCGGAAATTGCAGGAATTTGAGCTTCCTTATGTATCAGTCACCAGCCTCCGCAACCCTGAATACAAGATCCTGCTGCGCAAGAGGTAAGAAATGTGCAAAGGGTAGGAGTCAATATAATCAATCCCAGCCAAATAATAGTTGAGTGAAGACCCATTAATGGCTTGCCTCTGCCATCTTTTTCCTCTTCCTCCACCCAGCTACTGGGACTCTGCCTTTGATGATGATGTCATGGAGCAGCGGGTAGGACTAAACCTGCTATATGCCCAGGTCAGGCACTAAGGTTGAGTGGCAGGGAGGAAGATGGGAAGTGGGCAGGCAGGCAGCAGCATTTCCTCCTTATTTGTTTTTCTCACAGACAGTTGCAGATATTGAACGGGGCTGGATCCTTGCCAATAAGGAACAGCACCGTCAGCTTAAATCTTTACAGGAAAAGGTCTCTAAAAAAGAGGTAGGTTTCCATTTTCCTTTACCTATGCAGTCTGAGTCAGTCTACATTACCTTGTTTCATTTCCAGGTAGCTGTAATGAAATTTATACATCCAAGGTCACAAGCTTCTCTGTGAATGTTCTCTCTCTTGTTATAGTTCATCCGCTTGGCACAAACCCTCAAGTATTATGGCTATCTCAAATTTGACCCCTGTATTACGGATTTCCCTGAGAAAGGCTGTCATGTTATTGTTGGAGCAGGCAACAGTGAACTGAATTTCCAGGTCAAGCTGCCCAATGACCAGATCAAGGAAGGGAGTTTCAAAGTGACACGGATGCGTTGTTGGAGAGTAACTTCCTCGGTGAGCTAACACATGAATCAAATTGTCTCTGCTTTATTGAGGATGGCCTGTTCTGCTTTTGAGGGAGGAGTATTTCCCTATGTCAGGGGTAGTCAACCTTGGCTCTTTTATGACCCGTGGACTTCAACTCCCAGAATTCCTGAGCCAGAATGGCTGGCTCAGGAATTCTGGGAGTTGAAGTCCATGAGTCATAAAAGAGCCAA